TCTCTGCCCACTGCCAGTGGCTGAGCCTTGGATACACCCAGCCGTGGCTCACACGGATGCCTCCTTGGCCTTTTGAAATCCCTTACAGGGGCAGACACAGAAGACGGGGCCCGGTCAGTCTGTGACCCCCACTGACCACCATCGGGACTATCTGCCAGCCACTGGGGCCTGCCCTCCTTATCTGAAATGCTGGCTGTTGGATCCTGTGGTGAGGGTTAATTGAGTAGCTCTTGGGACTGATATGCTGTGCACCAGTTCAACCCCCAATGCCAGGCGAGCTTCCTGCTTCTCTGCATTCTGTGTCTCTGGGAAGGGGAGTGTCCCTGACCCCCTCTGCCCAGGCACTTGTGTGTCTGCAGTTCTCAGCATCACCTGTGAGGTGTGCCCACCTGGAATCTGCACTTCCTTCCAGGTAGCCAGCTGTGGCAGGGGAGTCCCTAGTTGGGGCCCTCCTCATCGTAAGCCAAAGTCCTTTGCAGTCAGGAAGTTTCTGGCAAATTTGCCTGGTCCTCACTGAGACCCTGAGAAAGGACTGACACCTCCTTCCTCCTGGGACCTTGGGAAAGCAAAGCAAATCGGATCAGGAGTGGAAGTCATTTTGACCCATAGAAATCTTTCTTGCCATACCTCTATCCCTAATGGAGAAATGATGAAAGCCCAGAGAAAATGCAGTCGTAGGGAATTTAGAACTTAACCTTGGATGAAATTAATGCTAAGCAGAATTTGAGGCAAACAAAAGGATTGTGAGATCTAAACTGACAGGAAGGCAACATGAAAAATGCTGAATGTCACAAATCATCCAACTGAAACCACAACAGGATGCCATTGTACCCCAGTTGGAATGACTGCCACCAGAAAAACAAAAGAAGCAAAGCGAATCAGATCAGGAGTGGAAACCAGTTCGTTGCATCAAAATCTTTTTTTCCCCAGGACTCTATGCCTAACAGACCAATAAAAATCCCAGAGGAAACATGAGTGCAGGAAATTAGAAACTTAATTAACTATATCCTTGTGAGGTGTGCCCACTCCACATTTCACAAACCCCAGAGTGCAGCCTATTGCTTTGGGGTAAAATCTACTGAGCTTACTCTGTCGATAGCCAGCCTTGTTCTATCACAGGTTTCTAACAAAGCTGCTGTTTGCTTCTCCATCAAGACCTTACGACTGCTGACCCTGCTTCTCTACGACCGAGGCCTTGGGAAATCAAACTAAATCAGAGAAGAGGAATTGAAGAGAAGTGGAGAGTTTCAGTTCTTATGACACAGAAAGCATTTTTTTTAAAACTCTACCCTCAACAACAAAAGAAGAGAATGGAAACTTGTGTTTAGGCTCCTGCCAGCCACATTGGAGACCCAGATGAAGTTCTTGGTTCCTGGCTTTGGCCTAGCCCAGAGTTATCCACTGTAGCCATCTGGGCAGTGAACCAGTAAAGACCGGCCTTGCTGTCTCCTTTCTCTCTCTTTGTGTCATCTAATTTTCAAAATAAGTAAGTTGGGGTTTTTTTTTATATACAAAGAAAATCCAATTAAAAAGCAGGTATTAAAAAAAGATACAAAAAAATATCAGATTTTCATTTTAGTCTCAAAATTCAATGTCAAGAGCATTGTCTTTGATCAAGACCGTGTCTACAAGAGTCACATACTCACCATAACTTTCATATCACATTGATGACACAACATCAACAGGAAATGAAGGCAGACATCGGCACAGCAGCATTATGTGAGTGTGCTGTCTTCTTTCCTGGTTGGAGAAAATGTCACCATTCACAAACGGATAGCAGGGACCCAAAGGACTGAAGTCAACAATGATCACAACAGCAATGAGCACTGTACGGGTGCTCGCTGTGTGGCTGGCAGTATTCCAAGCTCTCTGGATGTGCTAACATGCTTAGGCCTTCGAGCATCATTCAGAGGTGGGAATACTGTTCTCTCCATACGCCCAATAAAGGAAATCCAGATTTCCTGTCCCCATTCTACATTGGGCTAAAACAGTGGTTCTCAACCTGTGAAGTCCTGAGGAAAACCTGGGAGCATTGATTGTGATGGATGTCAATTGTATGTAGTCTTGCAGCCTCAGAGTGGAGCCTAGACCATCATCTTTCCCTTTCTCTCTGACACCGAAAGAGTCCTGCCTGTGAAAGGGCTTTGTGAAATGCAAAGCTTGATTCAAATGTTAATTGCAACCTTTCACTTCAGGAACAGGAAGAGATCTTTTCATCTTGAAAGTTTTAGTTATGGAAAGCATCAAACTATATAAACATGAGAAAATAATATAATAAGCTATGAATGGATTCATCTCTTGGCTTCAAAAACATATCAATTCCCAATCAATGTTATTTCATGTATATACTGAGCTTCTACCTTTTCACTGAGTTATTATTTTTTAAGATTTTTTTTTTTATTGGAAAGGCAGATCTACAGAGAGAAGAGACAGAAAGATTTTCCATTGTCTGGTTCACTCTCCCAGTGACCACAATGGCCAGAGCTAAGCCTATCCAAAGCCAGGAGCCAGGAGCCTCCTGCAGGTGACCCATGTGGGTGAAGGACCCCAAAGTCCTGGGCCATCCTCTGCTGCCTTTTCAGGCCACAAGCAGAGAACTGGATGGAAAGTGGAGCAACCAGGGCACAAACTGGTGCCCATATAGGATGCCAGCACTTGCAGGTGGAGGATTAGCTCATTGAGCCACAGCATCAGCCCCTCACTGGGTTATTTTATTATATCATTTATAAATATTTCAGGGTGGCACCTCTAAAGGACAAAGAACTTGTAAAAAAACAAAGCCATGATACACTATTGTGGCTATTACCACATTCACACTAGCAAATGATTTCTCTATATCAAACATCCCATCAGTTGCCTCATGATTCCACTGTGTGTTTTACATATTAAACTTCCAAAACCAATTGGAAAAGTTTTTAAACCATCCCCCCTCCAAAAAAAAACAAAAAACCTGGTCCTACTTGTCCAATATGCAGAAAACCAACCATTGGCATTGGGGAAGAGATCAGAAGGATGCATTTATTGCAGCATGGAGCCAGGAAGCTATAGTCTAATTCTCAGCCCCCCACCCACCCCAACAGGTTAAGGGTAGAACCTCTTAAGTTGGGGCTGAGGCACTGGTCAACTGCTGTCCAAGTTCCTGGTTGGCCCGAGGTACTTACGGCTGTCCTTTGACTGGAGAGCAGCATGACATCCTTTAGGGGATTTTGATGATGAAAAGCAGGCTATGTGCAGGCGGTAATTACTTCTCTGCTACAGACCAGGGTTTCCAGGAAAAGGCATCCCCCAAAGCAAGGCTGAACATCAAGATGTTTTCTATTGTAGAAACACAAGACCTCACGTAGCTGGTGATGAGACTTCCGGGGGCCAGCTGGTAGGTGCTGGATTAGCCATCCTAAGGGCTGCTCAGGACACCAAACGAAGGAGGAGGACTGGGAAGGCTGGAGACTGGAGCCCGTATCTACCATCTGCGACCAGGCCCTCGACAGGGGGCGCTCTGGTTCCCTTCTCATTTTTAGTCCAAAACACCCAGTCCTCTCTCTTGCTGAGCTTCCTGAAACTCTTGATGTATAGATTTTGTTTGCAGGTCTCTTTTGTCTAGTAATTAATGGATTGAAATTTGTCCTGTGAACTCTTCTTGAGTACAAGTTTTGCTGACTGCACCTTGTAATTAACTTAAAACATCAGGTTATTGGTCCCGTAAATTCCCCTTTAATCCAGGTTTTGTTGATGGTGCTCTGATCCATCAAAAAAAAAAAAAGTATTTCTTAGCTGTGGTATGTTTCTTACAATATTGAGCCAACTGCAATGTTCTTTAAGATTCACTTGTTTTTACTGGAAAGTCAGATTTACAGAGAGAAGGAGAGAAAGATTTTCCATCTGCTGGTTCACTCCCCCAAATAGCCACAATAGCCAGCGCTGAGCTAATCAGAAGCCAGGAGCCAGGAGCTTCTTCCTGGTCTCTCCACAGGTACAGGATCCTAAGAATTTGCGCTGTCTGCCACTGTTTTTCCCAGGCCATAATCAGGGAGTCGGAAGGGAAGTAGAGCATCCAGGACACGAACTGGCACCTCTTTGTGATTCCAGTGTGTCATGGTGAGGACTTTAGCCATCAGGCTACTGTGCTGGACCCATGGGATACATTCTTATCAAGCCACTCCTGACTTCATTCAGAAGTCCTTGGCAGTTACTGAATGCCACATGTTCATTCTAGGAGACTCCATTGCACTCGGTTGCATCAAGTTCTCTGGGAGCTTAGGAACCGCTTCATAGAACTTCGTTGTACTTCACGAGTGCTGCAGATCCAGCGTGCTTCCCATTGTCTCAGTCTCCAAATCCCCATGCTAGAATCCTAAGTACCAGCATGCTGACATGTGCAGACCAGGAGTGTCAGCAATAAGGTGGTCTACTGGGAACTGGTAGGTGGCCCCTCAGGAGACAGAATCCATCAGCACTTCCACCTTGGCAAGCCTGACCTCCAAAACCAAGAGAAATCAATTTTTGCTTCTTAGAAGCCATCATTGACGGAGTTTTGTCCCAGCAGTCCTAAGGGACTGAGAGCCATCCCTGGGGACCCCACACTAGACTCCAAGAATTGGCTGCCTTTACTTCCAGGCACTGTTGTGAGTGCTTTCCATTTCCCATCACCCCCAGAAGTTGAGAGCATCTCCTCGGCCCACAGGCTCCTGAGCCACCCATACCAAGCCTGAACACTCGGGGTTGTTCCAATGACACAAAACCAGCAAGCCTTCCAACTCTCAGAAAACCGGCGGGCGCCTGACAATGACGTCATGATCCTCCGGCTTCCCGCGCCCTCCTCTCCTTCAGCCCCGCCCCGGGCAGAGGCCGACCTCAAGGCTTTCCGCTTCTCAGTCACAGCGGAGCAGCAAATCCCATCCTGATTGGCTGTGCCCACGCCCGTCAAGCCCAGGTCCCGCCGCTGCCCCTGCAGTGATTGGCCCTGGCGGCCTCACGCGGGTTCCGATTGGTTCAAGGCCTGACCTTCTGTCAATCTGCTGGTGCGCAAGGCCTCCCTGCTTGGCCATGGCCGAGTTCCGCAAGCTGGAGTTATCCGAGGCCCTGGCGCTTGAGCCCCCCTGGCGGCACGCGTGCCATGCCATGCTCTATGCACCGGACCCGGGCAAGCTCTTCGGCCGCATCCCGCTCCGCTACGCCGTCCTGGTGAGGAGGGCACGCCTGACCACCCTGCCCCGACCCCTGCACACCTGCGGGGCGCTGCGGCCAACTCCAACCGCCTCCCATCCTGCAGATGCAGATGCGCTTCGATGGGCGCCTGGGCTTTCCCGGCGGCTTCGTGGACTCGCAGGACAGCTGCCTGGAGGACGGGCTGAACCGGGAGCTGTGCGAGGAACTGGGCGAGGCGGCGTCGGCCTTCCGCGTGGAGCGCGCCGACTACCGCAGCTCGCACGTTTCGGATGGACGACGCGTCGTGGCGCACTTTTACGCGAAGCAGTTGGAGCTGGAGCAGCTGGTGGCGGTGGAGGCCAGGGCCCCGCAGGCCAAAGACCACGGGAGGGAGGTGGGGCCAGCCTGGGGCTGCACCCCAACCCGCTCCCCACGCACCTTTCCCTTCCAGCCCACCCCCGACTGCCATTCTGCCTCTCTACCCTCCTCCCAGTTTCTTGGGGTAGCTGTCATACAGGGGTAGGCTGCGGGCAGGACGGGGTTGATTGTGGATGATATTGCCTGGGTTCTTTCCCTGCGAAATCTCTCCTCACCCCTCCGTATGGGTATACTGATGGGGAGCCAAGCAAATATGGAACCCTAGGCCCTTAATTCGGGTCTGTTCTCATTATTGGCAAGTATCGCTAGCTCGTGGAGGGCTTTGTTAGAGCAGTGATTGTTGGAACCTGAGCCCGCAGCTGCTAGTTAGGGGCCAGAGGAACACCTGAGAATTCGCATGTCTTTCATTGGGCTGAGGCCGAGGAGACTGTCCTGGGTTCCCTGTTTGGACCAACACTGTGAGAAGTTGAGCCAGCTTCCTGGAGCCAGGAGGCGCTCAAGGTCTGGGGGAAATATGGGGAAGAAAGGATTGGAATTTCTGGAACAGGATAACATGTCGTGGATCCTTGGGCTGTGGACAGTGGATCCTCCTTGAGGCCTGAACATTGTGCCTGGTTCTGCTGAGGATGAGACCGTTGAGCTAGGGAGATCTGGTAGAGAAAGGGTTTAGTTCCGGTTGGGAGCCCTCAGGGACCCTGGTGTCTTCCCATCTCCCTCCTTTTGCAGGTGCTGGGCCTGGTGCGGGTGCCCCTGTACACCCTGCGTGACGGAGTGGGAGGCCTGCCCGCCTTCCTCAAGAACTCCTTCATTGGCACTGCCCGGGAGCAGCTCCAGGAAGCCCTCCACGACTTGGGACTGCTGAATTCTGCTTCCAGCTCCAGCCCTAAGACTTAAGCCCGTAGACATTGGTACGACCACCCTGCCTGGACCCCTGGGAGCTGAGATTGAAGACGTTGGTCCTGGCAGTGCAGGCAGGGACAGAGGACTGTGTTGCCTTCTGGACCAGAGTTTCCAGCTCTGGAGAGTTGGAAAGTGACAGCCGATGAGATGAAGGTGACGTATGTTCTCTAGCTTGTAGCATCCACACATGACGCAGAGGCACATGGTCGCACATGGCCCTGAAGGACGCCCAGAGCCTGCTGCCTGCCTTTGCACCTGCACAGACAGCCTGTGCACTGTACTGTCCTCACAGCCCTGACCGCTTCACCCCAGCATGCCCAGTGTAACCTCACCAGGAAGTGGCACTGGAGGGCCTGCTCTGCCCTGTGCCTTGTGTTCCATTGAGGGAATGGGGGGCTAGGAAGGAGATGAGTGTGGGTCCCTGTTCTCAAACATGGCTGCCCCTGGGATTTCTAGCTCGGCCCCTGCTCCTGGGGAGGAAAGAGGTGGAGAATGCTCTGTCTTCTAAGGCGCTCCCTATCCAATTCCCTACCCTTTTCTTCCCCTGAACCTGTGCAGAAGGAGTCAAACCATGCTTAGGTCTCCCATCCTCTCTAGGGCTTTCGCTTTTGGAGGCTCTGGGATGCCGGAACATCAGAAGGGAGGCTGACACAACTCTTGCCTAGCCCTGCCCTAAAGGAACCTCCCAGCATAGAAGGGCTTATTACTGAGGTTGGAAGCCTCAGTTCTTGTAATACATATCATGCACCTGCTGAGTGCCAGGTGCCCTGAACAGAAGCACTGTAGGCTGTTAGCCACATCTCCACAGCAGATCCTAGCAAGCATTCTGTGAAATAAAATATGTATAAAATAAATACAACGTAGTAGGAGCATTTAACACTTCTGATTCCCCAAGCCTGATGATTTGATATAAAAATCAAGACCATGACACTTTCCCCATCAGTCTCTAAATCACGTATAATGAGAAACTTGTACAAGATGAATATTTGCTTCTTAAAAATTACAAATTAAGTGATAACAAAAATGCACAAATCAGCTGGACCCTAAACAAATTTCTAGTGGATTTTCTTCCCTTTTCTCGGCAGACATTCATAAAGGACGAGGTAGCAAATCTTGTAGGCTTCATTGCCCACAGGACTTGTACCTGCCAACTCTCTCTGTCAAATGTGCATGGATGTTGCATGGTCAAGTAGTGTGGCCGCGTTCCAATAAAACTTCATTGTAAAAAGATGGTAGCCAACCTCTTGCCCATAGTTTGCCAAATGCTTACTAAGGAAACATCGTTAATTGTGATTAAGATGGCTAGTGTTATTTAATTGTGAAGGACATAAAGGAGCTGATAGAGTCCTTTCTTGTTTATTTTAGACCTGAAAAAATTTGACGCATAATTGTGGATATATGGGATAGAATATGAAATTAGTGTACGTGTCACCTAAAACAGTTGTTAGGAACATCCGAAAATCCTTTTATGCTTATTTTAAAATATATAACTGATATTTATCATAGTTACACTACTGTGCAGTGGAATGCTGCAAATTAACCTTCCCATCGAAATGTGTTTTTGCTTTTACCAACCAACCCTTCCCTAACTCTTCCTTCCCTGTCCGGTGCCTCAGTCTAAGGAGAGAAACAGGTGTAAGCCAAGTGTAGATGTCTTATGCCCGTGTGCGTAGCTGGGTACTGAAAGTCTTTAAAAAGAATATAGACCCGAAAGAGTTACAAAGATCTCTTCCCTACTAGTTCACTCCCCAGATGGCCACAGTGGTTGGAGCTGGGCAGGCTAAAGCCTGGAGCTTCTTCCTGGTTTCCCACATTGAGTGGCAGGGGCCTAGTCTACTGGGTCACCTGCTGCTGCTTCACCATTAACAAAGAGCTGGATTGGATGTGGAACAGCCAGGACATGAGCCCACACCTGTACTGGATAACAGTGTCGCTAGCAGCAGCTTTACCCACTATACCACAATGCTCACCCCTGGTGCCCTACAGCTCAGCTGTTTTGCAGCCTTAACGTTGGTTAAGTGTCCTGTATCACCAACCTGCTTTTCATCACATCACAAGGCAATCTGAACTCCTTCTTGGTCCCCTGGCCTCTGCTCATTCCTGTTATACTTCCTGCTTCTGTGAGATTTAGGTTTAACTGGCCAGGTCCACCTCATGCACGCTGTGGTTGCAGTGTTCTGGAGGGGCCTCCTGGCGAACACCTCTCTTTCGTAGAGTTGATTTGACCGTATAAAGAAGCTACTGTCTCTTGCTCCTCTCCCGTCAAAGGTGGGCCAAGTTCCATTATATTTTTGTTTCGACTCAATTTTTATAAAAATGTATTTTTTTTGGAAAGGCAAATTTACATAGGAAAGGAGAGACAGAGAAAAAGATCTTTCATCTGCTGTTTCACTTCCCATATACCTGCACAGGCTATCCAAAGCCAGGAGCTTTTTCTGGGTCTCTTACGTGGATGCGAGGTTCCAAGGCTTTGAGCCATCCTCCAGTGCTTCCCCAAACCATAAGCAGGGACTTGCTGGGAAGTGGAGCAGCCAGTAGTGCCCTAATGGGATCACAGTGCTTGAAGGTAGTAGATTAGCCTATTGTGCCATCGTAGGAACCCCTTTCTTCAATTTTTTTATTAAACATTTTAATTTTTTAAGATTTATTTTTATTGAAAAGTCGTATTCACAGAAGAGACAAAGAGAAAGATCTTCCATCCACTGGTTGATTGCCCAAGCGGCCTCAACAGCCAGAGCTGAGCTGATCTGAAGCTAGGACCCAGGACCTTCTTCCAAGTCTCCCACACGGGTGCAGGGTCTCAAAGCTTTGGGCCATCCTCTACTGCTTTACCAGGGAAGTGGAGCAGCCAGGACACAAACTGGCGCCCATTTGGCAAGAAAGATTTCTATGGGTCAAAATGACTTCCACTCCTGATCCGATTTGCTTTGCTTTCCCAAGGTCCCAGGAGGAAGGAGGTGTCAGTCCTTTCTCAGGGTCTCAGTGAGGACCAGGCAAATTTGCCAGAAACTTCCTGACTGCAAAGGACTTTGGCTTACGATGAGGAGGGCCCCAACTAGGGACTCCCCTGCCACAGCTGGCTACCTGGAAGGAAGTGCAGATTCCAGGTGGGCACACCTCACAGGTGATGCTGAGAACTGCAGACACACAAGTGCCTGGGCAGAGGGGGTCAGGGACACTCCCCTTCCCAGAGACACAGAATGCAGAGAAGCAGGAAGCTCGCCTGGCATTGGGGGTTGAACTGGTGCACAGCATATCAGTCCCAAGAGCTACTCAATTAACCCTCACCACAGGATCCAACAGCCAGCATTTCAGATAAGGAGGGCAGGCCCCAGTGGCTGGCAGATAGTCCCGATGGTGGTCAGTGGGGGTCACAGACTGACCGGGCCCCGTCTTCTGTGTCTGCCCCTGTAAGGGATTTCAAAAGGCCAAGGAGGCATCCGTGTGAGCCACGGCTGGGTGTATCCAAGGCTCAGCCACTGGCAGTGGGCAGAGAGGAGAGAGGCAGAGCTGGGCTTGTGGCTCTCCCTCCTGCCCTTTCAGGCTCTGCCAGAATGATCCCAGGGAATGGCTTCAAATGCACCAAGCCCAGCAGCCTTAAGGTGGCCGAGGGAGACTCAGCTACTGGCAGGGCGGGGATGCTAGTGGGTAACATGGGAAAGCTGGGCCTCTCCCTGCAGCCTCCCTGGAGACTTGAGTAGTGAAGGGATGTTCAGATAACTAAGTGGAGACAGGGACTTCCCAGGGGCAGTGGCAGGGAGGAGTGGCATGGATGCCCAAGCACAGTGGGAGGGAGCACTGCCTAGACCCCTGTGCCCACCCTGGGGGAGCAGAGGACATGAGAGAATGCTGGCAGTGTGCAGAGTGCCCTGGACCAGCGCTGAGACAAGGGGTGTGCTAAGTGTGCAGTGTGGGAGTGAGTTCCTGGGATCACACTGGGCCTCAGCATCCTCAGTGGCCTGCGATGAGGAGCCAGGGGGCACAGATGAGGCTGGTGCAGACCAGGCTCTGAAGGCGCTGTGTGTGCATCACCTCAGGCTGCGGAGCTGTCAGTCTCCTCTAGAGCCTGTTTGACAAAAGGGCCAGGGTTACAAGGGGAGGAGAAACGACCCAGAACAACCCAGGGATGAAGTCCCCTGGGAACCTCGTCCACTCCCCAGCTATTTTGGAAAATTAAAGTTTTGAAATTTTGCATCAAAATAAACTTATTTTTAAAATTAATTCTTTAAGATGTGGGGAGAAAAAGAGCGAGACAGCGAGAGAGATTCCATTGCTGATTCAATCTCCTACTCCCACATGCCCAGAATGGAGCTGAAGCTAGGCTAACATCAGGATTCTAGAGCTCAGTGCAGGTCTGCCCTGTAACCTACAAGGACCCAACTGATCCATTGTCTGTTGCCTCTCCTGAATTACTAGAATTGGATGCATTTTTTCTTTTTTCAGTATTCTCATATTTGTTGGAATATGTTCATCTGTATAACAAATGAAGAGCTTTTGGACAGATTATCAAAAAGTCTCCCTTTGGCTTTCCACGAATCCACCTTGTTCCAGTTCAAATACTTACTAATTCCTCGTGCCTGGGACATAGCTTGACTGAGTGCCTTTGCAAGGTGGTTTGTGGGAATCCTCATGACATGGTGCTGGTGTGCGTTGAGTGACGGGCAGTGCTGCTGAGTTCCCGCAGGCACCTGCTGAGCCTCAGAGCCCAAGGCCAGTCCTACTGAGGACCCTGCCACAAGGTCTTCATGATTCTCCCCAAGATCTCCCTCCCGCTGTGACTTGATATCTGAGAGCCACTTAGCTGTTTGTGTGGAAACTGTTATGCCCTTTAGAAACTAAAGAATGTTGGCAGTTTTCTTTTCAATTTTTTCCCAGTTTCATGATAAAAATCTTCATGGATTGGCTACATGGTATTTTAAAGAATAATATTTGTGGGTGGAGTAAATCATGTTACTTCAGCCTCATAACATCATTGTAAGGGAATTAAATTAGTGAGTCAGGGTATTAGGTCTCCCAGCATGACAGCTAAAGGCAATTTTCCAGACTCTGGCATGGTAGATAGGCTAGGCCTGTAAGTTCATATATTACTACCATGAAAGTAGTCTCCTTAATAATCCCAGCAGGCCACATTTTCCTTGGAGCTATGCGTATTGAATATGTAAGTTTTAAGCTAGTGTCACTCATTTAGATCAATGCACAAAGAATGAACTTGAATGTAAGTTGTCAAGGATGAACACTGAGAAGACAAGCATTGCCTTAATGGGGGAAAAAAAAGATGGCAAAGGAGGCTTAGGTCACCCTGAATTCCACTAAATAACAATTGATTAACATCCATTAGTTAATAATGACCGCAATAATGCTGTTTAGCAAACACACTATGAGGGCTCAGTGTAAGCAGCTCTGCAGTCAGCCGTTCCTGGCTGGGTTCGGCTGCAACTTACTCAGCCCCTTTAGTTTGTCATTCTCCCAAGGTCAGTGGACTAGCTAAGATGCATTTCTCTTGGCCGTGATGATGGTGCAAAATGCAGTCCTACACATGGCTTCCCAACCTTTGGTTACATCAAAACTGCCCAACGTGGTCTTGAACAGAGCAATCATACAGCTAAACCCAAAGTCGCAGAGCAGGGAGTCTGCCTCTTGAGAAGAACACCCCAAAATCACATGGTAATGAGTGTTATACACTTTGGTGCTGGTGTAGCAGCCTAAGTTTTCGCCTAAGGCTACAACACCCCATACGGGCATCAGTTTGTGTGTCACCTGCTCCACTTCTCATCCAGCTCCTTGCTGATGGCCCAGAGATGCCTCAATTCCTTGGAAAACCTGAAAGAAGCTCCTGGCTTCGGCCTGGCCCAGCTCCTGCCATTGCAGCCATTTGGGGAGTGAGCTAGCAGATGGAAGATCTTCCCATCTCTCCTTCTCTCTATGTAACTGCCTTTCAAATTAAAAAAGAAAAAAAAAATCTGTAAAAAAAAATGTGGATCTTTATATAGTTTATCCTATACACCAAAACTAGTTATATTCCTTATATTTTGATCACTAATCTAAGCAAATGAAAGGAATGGTGAATTCTCCAGATATTATTAGACATTTCTGGAAACCTCCCACTTTTCTGTCTTGTCCTCCCTAGGTAGGCTTTCAAAGAGCAGATCATGAAAAACCACCAGAAATATCCAGTTATTCCCATCTTCTTAAATTATTCTAAAATCATCTATTCCTATTTGGGTAGCATAGTGGTTCTGATAGAACTTTTAAAGCACATTTGCCTTCAAATTTCTTTTTAAAGATTTGTTTATTTGTGTATTTGAATGGCAAAGCCACAGAGGGATGAAGGGTGCGGAGGTGTGAGCGAGCGAGCGGATGCAGAGGAGTTTCTATCCTCTAGTTCATTCCTTAAATGGCTGTAACAGCCAGACCTGCCCCAGGCTGAAACTGGGCAATCCCAGAACTCTGCCCTGACCTTGCATGGGGTCACAGGGCCCAAGCGCTGGCACCACCATCCGCTCCCTCCTCAGGAGCATTGAGCCAATTTAGAAGTGAGGTAGTTAGGAGCTGATCTAGCATCTCAAACAGGATG